TTGATAGATCTACCCATATCATGACTAGGGCCCTTGAGAGATGTCAACATTCAATCGTACTGTTGAGGCCTGAAGACTTGGGCTTTTGCCCTTTAAGTACTCGGCTCCAACCGATTATTCATTTGCATCTGATTGTTGGAGCTTGATCTCAATCATTCTTCCCCTAGTTGTTTGCCCTGTTTGTTTTCAGCCTTGGTCATTTAACCTTGGTCATTTAGTCTTTGGATGTCCTCCCTTGGTCATCTGACCTCGACCACTCGGCCTCAATCATTTGGGCTTAGTCACTGGTTTCATTCTCTGTGTCTTGGTTGCTCGAGTTTCTTGACACTCGTAATCATGCCCAATCATATGTGATCTTGAGTTGGCATCATCCTAGCTCATTCCAGAACTACCTTCTGTAATCGGTAAGTTACAAGTTGTTCGTTTTTTGATCATCTGATTAGTGACTTTTGGGTAGTACACTATAGTAGTTGTAATATTAATTCATCCACATGAAAAATTGGGAGGCCGCATGCAACCATCGTTCATTTCTTCATTTCACATTAACTTGACTGGAGTTCCACCAAAATTTAACTGCCTAATACTCCAAACTAACTTAGAACTGGAGTTGAATTTATTTCAATACAAATTAAAATTCAATCATTATCAATCCCAAGTGTTTCTAAGTCCATTTTATCCACTCACTCATTCAAGTGTTAATTTTAATCCTCACACTCACTTTGAACTAATTTTGCCATTCCATCAACCAGCGTTTCTTCGAATGAAAAATTGGTTGAAGGGAGTTTTTTATAAGAATTTTTTCTGAATTTTTTTGGATCAATCTCTTTAAATTGAGCTGATATTAAGCAACGAGATTGATCCCAAAATTTTCAAATTCCCTAATAAGAAAAAAGTCTCCACCAATTTCTATCAAAGAAATAAGTTGATAGCAGAATCAAATTAGTTTATATTTAAAGAGTTTAAGGACACTTTAACACATGGAAAAAAACCTAAGACAAAAAAGTAATAAATCTAAAGACCAGTTTTAACATTTACTATGCAGCAATAGGTCTCATCGTTAGGAAAAAATCTTACATACGGAATCAAGATGGAGCTCTACGTCCGGACTCCAATAAAATCTTGTCACGTATATCTGATTGGGTCCATCTAAAAATGACGAAAAGACGACAATAACACCGCGGTGTTATTGGCATGGTCCTTCAGGTGTTGTTATTGGCGCTGTTTATTGGTGTTATTGTAGTGTTATTGGAGTTGTTTAGCGGGGATATTGAAGCGGAACTGCGATGTCATTTGTGTGGTCCTCCGAGCGGTGTTATTGGCACTAATCACCGGTGTTATTGTAGTTTTATTGTGGTGTTATTGGAGTTGTTTTGCGAGGTTATTGAAGTGAAACCCAGTGTTATTTGTGTGGTCCTCCAGGTGATGTTATTGGCGTTGTTCACCGGTGGTATTTGGTGTTATTGGAGTTGTTTTACAATAGCACCACAATAAACGCCTTTTTGTCATTTTTAGGTGGGCTCAGTCATACACGTGATAAGATTTTATTGGAGTCTAGGCGCAGAGCTGCGTCCGACTCCGTATGTAAGATTTTTTCCATCATTAGACTCCACACTGATTTTAGAAGTGCTCGAACCATTAAAGCGCAGCTAACACAATTAGAATCAAACAAAATGCTTACCTAAGAAAGGTCGTCTAATCAACTGGGATTAAAGCTTCTTAATATAAAACTCTACAACAATAGTTTAACAAGCCTGCCTAATACCATTAATACCAAAAAGGCGATTTCAAATCAGAGTTCCCTAGCTTAAAAAAGGGGAAATTTACATACATACCACGCAATTCTTATGTATTTATAAACCTAGCCCCTAAACTTTAACATTTATATTCATGGCACTACAATGTCATGGACTTGTGCATGAAAAGCTGTATTCCACTTTCACAAAGTGATAGCGTTATTTTTTATGTGATATGTTAAGGATTTGAGCACTATGTATGAAAATATGAAAGTTTATGTGTAAGATATGTAAATACATAAGAATTGTGGTATGTATGTAAATACATCAAAAACAAAGGAAGATTTACATACATGACACTCAATTGCTTTGTATTTACATATTTAAAAACTATACTTCATGTTTTACGTACACGTCACCCTAAATATGCATTAAAAAGGTGTATTTCACTTTTTAAAAGCGGAAAAAGTGGTATTTGTTATGTGTAAGTTTTGGGTGGTATAAATGTAAAAAGGAAGCTTAGGTGTTAGATACCTAAATACATAGGAATTGGGTGATATGTATGCAAATACCCCCCACAAAAAGGCATAAACCATAGCTGCCCAACACCATTAGAACTCATAAGAGAGAGAGCTTATACCGAAGAGGTTAGAACTCTTACAGAAGCAAAAAGGACGGCCACTGGCAACGACAAGATATCCTGCCTCAGCACTATTCAGATATAGTGCGCACTGATGCAGGCCTTTACTCGTACCAAGTTGATGGAAATGAGACACAACATTCTGGTATTGTGGATCAAGTGGGCCAAAGTTTCCACAAAAATATTATAATGAGCAGTTGATGATGACAGCCTTCGAAGTGGAGTTCAATTCAGAGGCCACCACCATCATTGATATACATCACATATGATGCCTGTCAAATAGAAAAATAATAAGGTCATTAATGAAGCTAAGAGAATAATTAAATTGTAAAGTTAGCTAGGCTCAAATACTATGAACACTTGTCAGAGAAACAAGTAATGCAGATCATCAAAAGGTTTAATCACTTTGATTAATCACGTGTGCTATTCTGCTGGTGAACTTTCTGTTATGTATAGGTGTCATTTCATTGAATATATAGATTTTAATAGGGTTGCAGCCTATAAGCATGAGCTTTTCAGTTCAAAAAGCTACAAGCATTTATAGTTCTTTTGGTATTATGTCATCATGTGCAATAGAAGAAAAATAATTATCATAAACTTATCATAAATCATGATGAAGATGAATTTAAAATCACTAAGCTTTATTCCAACTATCTTTACTAGTTTTACAGTTCCTCCATTTTCATTCATTACTATTGACTGCTAGACAAGGTGCTAACTTCTTCTTGAATAAATATTTTTTCAGTGTTTCGATCAACTCTATTTTTGTAGGCCTTACTTAAATTTCCTAAGCATTTTGCATTTTGCATATTTATTACTCCCACCATCCCTCAATATTCTTAATTTAATCAACAAATTCATCTCAATGTTATCCTAGTGAGTTTCTAGGACTTGAGTGAGAAAGGATAATGTTGGTGTAAGATTTACAATCAACCATAAAATCCATATGCCATAATCCATAAAACATGACCCAAATTTATCACAGCTAAGCATTTCAAGTTAAAGCATAGGAAGAAGGAGAGTTAAGTAGAGATTAAATACTGCACCATAAAATACCATTTAGTTGCACGCCATAAGAACTACTTCGGGAAAAGGGTGGAAGTCATTATGATACAATGAAAGTTGAGAAACCATAGCATTGACAATAATGTGAAGTTGTTTTAGATTGATGCAATTCTAAGGTTTAATCAGTTAGTAGTAGGCTTACTCAGATTAGATTATGTTGTCCCTTAAAAATACAAAATGCATTTATGAAAATTCTCTCTCTACCAATTTCCATCCAAAGAAATAAAGCAAAGTTGATGGTGGGACCAAATAAGTGTATGTTTGGGGGGGTTCAGAGATTAAATTGAAATCCTGAGAAAATGAAAAAAAAATTAAATTTTAACGATTCCTCTTGATGCAAACACTTTAATTTCTTATAAGGGATGCATAATGACAAACCTCCAACGCATGCTACTGTCGGTAATTTTATAAGAGTTCAGATCCTTCACGCTGTACTAAGAATTACTTAAGAGATTAACAAATGAAAGTGACGACTTGTGAGACCTCTGGTAAACATATCATGTAAAATTAGGTCCAATTAGATAAGCAATAAAGTTTGGGTATCCTTATAACCAATGAATTTGCTCATTTGTGCAATTAAAAAAAAAATTTAGGTAAGCTTGATCTCTCCAATGGACAAAATGACAAGCATGCTTATGTTAGATGCAATGCACTGAAATATTTTATAAGAAACCTGTACCATTTTTCCTTTTTCAGCATAAAAAACTTAATAAGGATCTTTCATCAAATGTACCAAAACAAAAAGATTCAATTTATAAGGGGATATATGTGCTTTAGCTATCATTTGAGTTGGAAACGCTATCAGCCGTATTTATGGTAGCACACTTTAGAAGCCATAATTATAAAGAAAAAAGGTAAGCCGTAATTCCTTAGATGATTCTAGTTTTCTTTTCACACTGATTTAAATTAAGCAAATAATGGAAGTACCACAGATGATCAGCAGCCGTTGTCTTTATAAGATGAATCCAGAAGAAATATTTTAGATATAATTATGTTAGGTAATTAGACAAATAAGAGATTAAGAAGAATAAAAAGAAATCTTTGCAGAGAGAGAAGTTCGAATTTCAGCTTGTTCTTAGCCATAAGCATACTGAATAATAAATTAATTGAAGGGAAAGAACATTAAAGTCAAGCCTAGGACATCAACTCCATAAGGTACTAAATAAGAGATTATCACCTAAATCATCATACAGACATTACATATAGTGCTCAATGAGAGATTAAGCAGAACATAAATTAGAACTATTTAATACCTTAATCACTGTAGGCGAGATACACGAGAATTCTTCACAGGATTCTCTTAAATTCCATTTACTTTATGCATTCCATCAATAAGTGCATTGAAAACTACTTGTCTAAATAATGCCCAACTTTGATTCAAACGGAGAGCTTTATGAAATTTCTGCCATCACTACCCCACATCAGATGAAATTCTATCAAAGCAATCAATTATGCAGCAAGATATTTTTTCCATGGCTTGCTTCTTCATAAGAGTTGAAAGAGTATGCATAGCTTTTATGGCAATGTTCTTGCAGAAAAATCCTCAGACCAAAGAAAAAGAAACTAGTATTTCAAAATGAATCCCTCCAATATTTCTTTTGCAATTTCCCTGTTCCTCTTCCCTTGGTGTCTTCTTTTACCTTCTAATCTCATCTTCGCAATGATTGAGGACCAGATTTCTCTCTTAGAATTCAAAAAGGGAATTATTGCTGATCCTTTTCATGCTCTCACTGACTGGAATGAGACTAATCCTCTCTGCAATTGGCATGGTGTTGTCTGCAATCCGAATTCTGAAAGAGCGATCAGGCTAGATCTGAAGGGCAAAAGCCTTGTTGGAACTATCTCTCCATACCTCTCCAATCTTTCTAGCTTAGAACTACTTGAATTGTCTGATAATTACCTTCAAGGTCCAATTCCTGTAGAGATAGGACTTTTATCAAATCTAGAACTACTTGGAATAGAAGGAAATGAGATAGAAAGTGAAATCCCTGAGAGTTTTGGCAAATTTATGAAGCTTCGATACATTGGCCTCAGCAACAACAAGCTTTACGGCAAGCTTCCTACCTCTCTCTTCTACAACTGTACAAAACTGAGTTACTTGGATCTCTCCAATAACTCCTTCACGGGTTCATTTCCTCCACAGATTGGGAACAAACTTCTTCTACTTGAGAACATCCTTCTCTATCAGAACAAACTGACCGGTGACATTCCAGCAACATTTTCGAACTTAACACAAGTGGTGGAAATTGATCTTGAGGAAAATTTTTTTGCAGGTGTATTACCATCACACATTTTGAGCCACATGCCCTATTTGCAGATACTCCATCTCTCCTACAATAACTTCTCAAGCGATGAGCAGAATTCAAATCTCAACCCATTCTTTAACACTATATCAAATCTCACAAATCTCAAAGAGCTTGAGCTATCTGGAAACAACCTTGGAGGTAGGATTCCTCTGACAATAGGTCAACTAAGTGTCAATCTTACAGAGATTGATCTTGGAGAAAATTCTATCCATGGAAACATCCCAACAAATGTTTCCAATCTCTCAAAACTCATGCTGCTCGACTTATCAAACAATTTTTTGAATGAAACCATTCCCATGGAATTGATTCTTCTGCCCAATCTACAAAGGCTGTGGCTCTCTAATAATTTGTTAAGTGGCCCAATTCCTTCACCTCCTCGTGTTCTAAATAGTATAGGGCTGTTAGATTTATCAAGAAACAAGCTTTTTGGAGCCATCCCAACCTCTCTATCAAACCTAACTCAGCTGAGAACTCTCATACTTGATAGAAATTCCCTTTCAGGACATATACCTCCAAGTCTAGGAAGCACAAAGCTAGAACTCCTTGATTTGTCCCACAATAGGCTTGCAGGAATAGTACCTGTAGAAGTTGCAAGTTTGAGCTCAATGGCCTTTTACTTCAATTTGTCACACAATTTTCTTGGAGGAATGCTCCCCATGGAGCTGGGTAATATGAACAAGGTCAGAGCCATAGACCTTTCATCAAACAACTTCTACGGAAGTATTCCGCCCACCCTTGCAGGTTGCGAAGACGTTGAGGTGCTTAACTTGTCCAACAATAGCCTTCAAGGTGCAGTCCCTTCATCCTTGGGCCATTTACTGAACCTCCAATCCTTAGACCTCTCATCAAATTTCCTCTCAGGAGAAATTCCAGATTCTCTTAAACAATGCTCCAGCCTCAAGCAACTTGATGTCTCATTCAACAACTTCAGTGGAGCAATACCCAGTGGTGGGGTTTTTGATATATTAACATTTGAATCTATTGAAGGAAACCATTTCTGTGGACAAATTCCAGGGCTTCCCAATTGTAAGCATGGGGCTCGAATAAGAATAAATTCTAGAAGATCCTTTGCCCTGCTCATAATCTCTGTCTCCCTGTCTGCTTTCTTCCTTACAGTCATAACAGTGGTTGGTTACAGGAATATTAAAACTGCATTGATTAATACTTTCAACACTGTTTCAAGTAAATCAGTTCCTTATCTATCAACAAATTACCCAAGGATTACATACAGAGAACTTTTTGAAGCAACGAGAGGATTTCGCGAAGAAAGACTGATTGGTTCTGGGAGTTTTGGGCGTGTTTATAAAGGAATCATGGGTGATGGAACAGTGGTTGCTGTAAAAGTTCTTCAATTACAGAGCAGTAACTCAACGAGGAGCTTCAACAGAGAATGTCAGGTCCTCAAGAGAATTCGGCACAGGAACTTAATAAGGATCATAACAGCTTGCAGTCTTGCAAATTTTAAAGCTCTAGTACTTCCTTTCATGACTAACGGTAGCTTGGAGAACCATTTATACCCACAAGAGCAGAATTCGGGATTCTCAGAGCTGAGCATCATGGATTGTATAAGTATCTGCAGTGACATTGCTGCGGGTATGGCATATTTGCACCACCATTCTCCAGTTCAGGTCATTCACTGCGATTTGAAGCCAAGTAATATTCTTCTCAATGATGACATGAATGCTCTTGTATCAGATTTTGGAATTTCTAGACTAGTGATGACAGTTACAGAGGGAAATCCCTTTGGTGAGAGCACAACAAATTCAGCAGCAAACCTGCTTTGTGGATCGATTGGGTACGTTGCTCCTGGTAAGATAACGTCTTTAAAATGGTTTGTTGAAATTATTTTGATATAAGTAATAATTTATGAATGAAATTGTTGAAAATAAAACATGAAGATTGAAGTTTCTTTGCCTTTTCTTTCAATAAAACTTTATAGCAATGAAACATGAAAACTTTCATCAGTTTGTAAAAGAGAAAAGTGTCATTGTAAAAGAGAAAAGTGTCAAAATGATTCCTTGATTTTTCACAGGGGATCATTTAGTCCTAGAATCTATACAATGCTAATTTAGTCCAAAGATTTTTTTAATATAGGTTAAAATAATTCCCGGACCCTTTAAAGATAGGACTATTTCAGCACCCATTGGAAAAAAATCCGGGGATTAATTTAGCGTCTTTATGGACTATGGGACGAAAATAGCCTCAAGTAGATAGTCAGAAGACCATTTTAGCACTCATGCTCATTTCTAAAACCGGCTACAATTAGATAATAGATACACAATGATAAATTCACAATATAGAAAATTTTTTTCTCACATCTTCCTACAACTAAAAATCAGCATTCATATAGTTTTTTATAATTTTTTTAGATCACATATTTATCCTATAAATATTCTCTGATATCAAGATACATCATAAAAGTGAATCCAGTTAGCTGACACTTCGACATTGATATATTAGTGACAAATAAAGTTTAGGAATGAATCTATAAAGTGAAATTAGGTAGCTTTTCTTCATAAAACAACAAAGGTAGCAAATACTGACAGTAAAGTCTTTACAAGAGATGAAAGCAGAACGAATCCATATTGTAGTTTCTAGTGCTCGTAGGCAAAGCTATTTGTTCTCTCAGAATATATTTACAGAGAAGCTGAAATCAATGTTCAAACTGTTACACAAACAGATACAAACCAAGGCAGCATAAGATAAGCTCAGGAATAAACGTAAAAATAAATAAATAAATAAATAAACATGATTAACATTAAAGCAGCTTAGTAATAACAAAGTTGATGTTATATCAAGTAACAATAATCCAAAAAATAATCATAAATCCAATACGATCTGACACTTATGCTTAGGAACTGCTCTAAATTAACTAAAATATGCATGTTAGATGCAATCAAATATATATATGAATCTCACACCAAAAAAAAATCTGTTTGCATGAAATATCAAGAGTACGGATATGGGAGAACTGCATCAACAAAGGGGGATGTCTACAGCTTTGGTGTTCTTGCCCTTGAAATGGTCACAAGGAAGAGACCTACTGATGATATATTCACAGAAGGATTAATTCTGCCGAAATGGGTTAGAAACCATTTTCCTACTCAGCAAGAAAAGATTATCAGCTCAACAATAATGCAAGAACTACAGAATCAGAGCCAAGAAAAAAGAAACATGTGGGAAGTTGCAATCAAGGAGCTGATTGAACAAGGGATTCTCTGCACACAAGAGACCCCTTCGATGAGGCCAACAATGATTGATGTTGCAGATGATTTGGAAAGACTTAAAGGATATTTAGGAGATGTATCTTCATCAACAGATGCAGAAGAACAGCACCGGTAAATTTTAATCCTGTTTGGTTACACAAGCCAGCAGTTTTGCATAAACATTGTAATTGTAAAACAGTTGAATCAAGGGTTTTAACTGAAATATAAACAGATGATTGCCACAAAATTGGCAGATTAAAATGAAGTATACATTATTATCGTAAATGATGACATACTGTCTAGCCTAAGATAGGCAGCTAGTATACTTTTTGGATTTTCTTCTGAAAGTTTGATTGATGGAATTTGAACAAACAAGCTATAATTCCAGGAACGCCACATGAAGAAGAACGAGCATTATAGAGAAAAAAGTTTTACTCGATCTTATGGAATTAATGGTAAATGGAAGAAAAAGAGCTCGTGGGAAGAAAAGAAACCATGATTACATCAAAGTAAACAAGCAAAACATTCAAAAATAACTACTGACAGAGATCTCATCATAACCTATCATTAAATGGTTGTCCTAATCTTCCAACTGTGTAACATTTTACGTGAATGCTCTCTTCATCTTTATTGGTTCAATCTTGTAAGCGTTTAAGCTCTTTGTGCCTGTTCCTAATTCAAATCTCACCTCACACCTCATCGACTACCCCTCCAGGTTTGGCTTATGCTTTTCCCCTTGTTAGAATTAATCCTTCGTAGTCATTGATTTAGATGGTCGTTGAATTCCCTGTGATTCATCCTACTTTCAGAGCATCTATGATTGTTGTTTCTCTTACTGATTGTGCTCCTTGGCTTTTCGTCGAAGTTGCAGGGAGTTGAAGCTTCATGATCTCAACGGCCTTTATCCAGTACTTATTCCCTTTATTTTTTCTCCACAGCACAAAAAATCCTGCACTTTTCATGAAGCCTCTATTATTCTCAGAAAAGTTGAGATCTTCGAGCTAGCTAATCCATTCTTTTTCACTGATGTAAGTTCTCTCCGGGGCATTCTAATAATAAAACTGTTCATGTCAAACATGCTTTTGGCGCTAGACAGCTCTATTGGACTTTTATATCATAATAATAATATTATTATATTATTAAAATTATGCTATACTTTTCTTGCATTGATCTTAATATGTGACTTTTTGACACGCATGTTAAAGTCGCCTCCTCAATTTAACTCATAAATAGAACAATCACTTGGGTTTTGGTTGTTTTTTCTCGACTTAGGTTACATCCACGTAAGTGTTGCTTTCTAGTCAACATTAAGTTCTCCAAATTCTGTCTTTAGCGAACCCTTGCAACTGGATGCTGCTATCTCTCAAGATTGTTTGTGCCTAGAGATATGGTTGAAATGGTTATTACTATACCTCAGCATAAAGAGGTCTGAATTGGATCCTCCTCTTATGATTACTGACAGAAGGATAAATTTGAAGGGATTCTTATGTTATTCCTTCAAAAATTCTTAATACAATTATTCTGAAAATTTAAAGGCTTACCTTGAGCTAAAGATATCACCATTTATTGATCCTTACATTCATAAACAAGCTAAGCATACAGGTGATCAACATCTATATTCGCGTGGAGCGGATGAAGTTTCAACTCTTCAATTTAAGATTCACGTAAAATTTGGAGGAAATTCTAAATAGTATCATGGAATCAGAGAATTCAAAGTCTCCCCTTTTTGTGCTAAGCCAAAAGGAGCTTATCAAATTTGCATCCAAGAACATTAATCCAGATCCTACAAATGAGTTAGCCTCTCACCCCTTTCTTATTTTTAAGGATGTTAACGCCGCAGATTATAAGCAGCTTCATGATTCAAGTGATATTTTATTTAGTATAGAAGACCAAATGTATAAGAAGTTTCAAATCTTATTTTTCGGAGGGCAGAAATAGAGAAAAATATCATTCGCAAAGAATCACTAGATTGTAAGCTAGGCACTTCAAATGAAGAGCTTTCCAGGGATCTACTCCCCTAATTAAGAGAACACGTTTTCTTTAGTTGTCACATTTTCTTTAATTGTGTGTGTGTGTGTGCATGTGTGTGGATGGTGTGTCATCAAGCAATTCATTGTATTGTACCTATTTTATCATCTAGTGAAAATTTTATAATTTGAGAAAGATATTATCATAATGAACCAATATATGATTATTATGATAATAAGTACAAAAAAGCGTGCTCCTCATATTTAAATCATGATGCCCATGATCCGGCGGTCTCTCCTAGACTGGCCCGACCCGGCCTAGGGAAGCCGAAACCCCGGTTTCTGACTGGGATGATTACAGCTCTTGGGTGGGGCCCATTAAGCCCCTAATCACGTATGGGAGGAAAGATATTAGGTGGTTTGGGGAGGAAAGTTTGAATGTGTTTTGGGAGAAAAGTTTGATGTATTTTGGGGGTGTTTTATTTGAGCTAATCACCTAGGGTTTGCTTTCATGTTTTGGATTTCTCGATTTTCTTTTTGTCTTTTTGTTCCTAGCGGCGTCTAGGGATTGTGGAGAGTCAACTACCTCTCAAATTATAGATCACCCACAATATCTTATTTGCTTGCTTGGAGATAATCAAAATTAGCCCTAACTTGGGTTTTCCCACATATTTATAGTAATTTGTTCCCTGATTTTGGCTCTGATTAGTATCATAGTATCATAGAAAGATTTGTGAGAGATTGCAACAAAGAAATTTGAGGCTTAAGAAGAAAGATAGCAAGGAGAAGTAGGGTAAATTAAATTTGGGATAGAGGAAATATTCTCAATCATAGAAGAAAGATTTTCCTCCATGGAAAACCAGCTTGAGAGCTTGAAGGAGATGATGAGAAAACTTCTTGAGATGCAATACTGGAGAACTTGCTCATGCCAAGTTTTGTGATGGATGTTATAATCTAAAGTCGTTTTCCATTAGGTTAACTAAAACCTAATCCAAAGGGTAACAGAGGAAGATGTATCAGGCTTCTTTGAGCGGGTAATCCATTAGCTGGACATGCTGGAGAATAACAGAGACCTAACTCCAAAGTGTTCAGCTTTTGTATTTATGCCTACTTATTATTGTGTTTCTATATCTGCTTTCTGGGAAATAACAGTGGTTGCAATGCACTTTGTATTGCAATTCTAGCATTTTCTTTTCTGAATTCCCCTTTCTTCAGCTTCTTTCTTTGGCCTAAATTAATTTCTTGTAAATGAAAAATATGTTTTAGAAAATGATGTTTATTTTCGCTTTTTTTAAGCGTGAGTTTCCCACAACAATTTTGGGAGAGCTTTGAGAAGGTTTTTAGTGTTTAAAATTAATGTTGTTGTGTTACGTCATCCATCTATATTCTATATCCAGAAAACTTCTTGCTTACAAAGTATGGATTCTTACCTCAAGCAACGGTTTATGAGGCTCTTCTAAATGGCATTTTTTTGTGATATGTACATGTGACACACAGGAGGTTGGTTTTACGTGGGTAAAAGGCAACCAAGAACTCATTTTTTTACAAGATCTGTTATCTTCTTGTAGTGACAGATTCGTTGGTTGTTGTAGCGAGTTGCTCGTGACATGCTTCGTCCGCATTTTAAAATTAATATTATCACACTTTTAATTGTAATTTTGATAGTTTTTTTTTTAGGAATCTTGATACTCAGTCTTAAGTGATGTGTATATTCTTTTTGTGTACTGTTATGAAGTGATTTTTTTGTTTAAACTATCAAATATATAGTTATGACAGTTTTGTTGCGAATAATACTATTGCACATGAATTGAATTGTCATTTATCCAGAAACAATTGCAAATCAATTGTTTTCCAAAAGTTCAAAACAAACAACCAATCAGCTAATCCGGATCAATTGTTGATCAGCAGCTTATCCAGATCAGCTGTTTATCAGCAGATTATTGATAAGTTGTAGTTGCCCCAAACAAACCCTTAATCTCTCTTAATATAAACTCTTGACCAAAATAATAATAATTGATTTCATTAAGTTTTAAATTCATTAGTTACAATAATTTTAAGTATCTCCTTGTTCTTAAATAATGCTATCAAAATATTTCATTTTCAATCATTGGGTGTCATTTTAGTCTTCAAATGTCCATTAAGAGAATAACTAGACAAATCAGCATAAATTACTCGTAACTTTTCAGATCTCAATAGGGTATCAATTTAGAACATAAGATTTACTTTTATACATCTTCAGAGCTAACTTCATTCATTTTTCAATCTTAATATGTATATATATA